AACTCACTTCATAACGTCAGTCGAGTGTTTGAAATAAATCCTTCTGTGAGATGATGTGGCTTCTTACATAGAATAAGACATGCAACATATTTCATAGTATTTAAGCAGTGATAAAGGCATTGCATTATAAATATACTTTATTTTAATGAAAATTATAATAAGAACTCAAATAAACCGTATATTGCCGTAGTCATGTGTTTATTAGTCACGTTGAATCAATGAAAGCAGTTGAATCTTCTGTTTATTCAGCTGCAGCGATAGGCATTTTCCGGGTTTCTTCTGCGAGGTGTATTTGGAGTTTCAGCGCGAGAGCGCCCTCTGGCCTTTGGATGGAGATTTACTGCTGATCACAGAACCGTGCTTCACTGAAAGATACGCATGACAATCGCAGCTTTTGTCGAATGGCAATCTGGATTCCATTTCGATTTATCGTGCAGCCCTAAGCTCTACCGTACATGAACATGAAAAGTGAATTGTTGTTTCTGCAGAATTCTGCACTGTTTTTAACATTTTAATTGGCCAGTTTAATTTTTTATGCTGTAAGGGAAATAAACATGCTTAATTAAATACCCAATATTGGCTGATATATATGCAGCCAATGGGTACCGATTAATTAAAATTTGTAATATTGCCATAGTATGTTATCGGATGCTGTTAGAGATTTTAATTAATTGGTATCCGTAGATATTGGATCTATATCAGTCAATATTGCAAAATGTGCTGATAGCACTTTTATATATCCAGTATTGCTGGTTACCAATTGAAATATCTAATATTGGGCCATAATATTATATATAGTGCATCCCTAAATATTTTAAACGTATTGCACAGATTATTTTCTTCTTGTAGTCGGTATGTTTTTGTTTGTGTAGTAAATATTTTATATTTGTTTGGCCAATGAACAGTTTGCAGCACAGGAGGAGAAGAGACAAAAGAACGAGCGTCACCATCAACACCAGAAACATGAGACTCAGATGAGAGACCTGCAGATGCAGTGCGACGCCAATGTCGGAGAACTACAGCAGCTGCAGGTACACGCATAGCAGAGAAACCGCACATTGTTTTTATAAAAGCAAAAGTGATAGAGTCTTCTGTGTGTTTTAGAATGAGAAGTGCCATCTGTTGATCGAGCATGAGACTCAGAAGCTGAAGGAGCTGGATGAGGAGCACAGCGCAGAGCTCAAGGACTGGAGAGAGAAACTCAGACCCCGCAAGAAGGTACCACTTACTGTTATTAACACCTTTAACAGTTCTGAATGGTTGAATTATTATAAATTTTGTTTTCTTGGTAAACACCCTATTACAAAACTTTCACACACAGAATGAATCTATAATGATGGACTATGAAAAGATTTTATGTAATGCTTCATCCACACCACTAGGTGTCAGTCCAACAAAACATAACTGAGTGCACCTTTACTATTCAACATTTCAATCATGTTAAGAAGGTTTAATTAGTGCATTTACTAAAAACATAATCCTCTGCGTGCAGGCCCTTGAGGAAGAGTTCGCGCGTAAGCTACAGGAACAGGAAATGTTCTTCAAAATGAGTGGGGAGTCTGCATGCCTTAACCCCTCCACCCAGAGCCGGATCTCAAAGTTCTACCCCGTCCCGAGTGTCCACTCCACCGGGTTTTAACACACACGTTCACACTAAAAGCACAGAGATGCTAAACTGCATTGGGACTGAACCTCAGCTGCCTTGTTCCCTCTGATCGCTGATGTCAGGCAGAACGAAGGAGGGACTTCGTTGTTCCAGTAATATACAGAGAAGTTTTTGCTTTTGTTTTTTTAATTTAAGCTTTAAAAGTGAATTTTCAGTGTGGTTTCCCTAAACATTTCAGCAATGGTTTATGAAAGATAATGTGATTCTATATGCCACTAAATTGATTTTTTTTTTTTTTTTTTTTTTTTTGAATCAGTGGTCTCAGTGTCTTAATGTTGTGGTTTACTGTGATATTTTTAGGATTATATCTGCGTACATGGAATGACTGTTCAACTTCAGACTAATTTGCTTGCACTAAACTAAGCGAATGATTTAACTAAATCTAAATCAGAATCAAAAATCTGAATGGTAATAAAATGTTCTAAAATCTAATGAAGTTTAAAGGCACATTATTTAGAGCAGTGGTTCCCAACCCTGGTCCTGGAGGCACCCCAACACTGCACATTTTGCAAAACGTGCAGTGATGGGGTGCCTCCAGGACCAGGGTTGGGAACCACTGATTTAGAGGTAAATACCTTATCATTAAGGATTTCTCGGATATTTAAATATATTTGACTGTCTGTTATCTCGCATCACTTTTTTGAGCTTTGTTTATCATAATATGGATCTATAGGATTTATAGTAGCAGCAATATTCATTTCTTTGAGATGTTTTAGCACAGGGGTGCCCAAACTCGGTCCTGGAGGGCCGGTGTCCTACAGAGTTTAGCTCCAACCCTAATTAAACACACCTGAAGCAGCTAATCAAGGTCTTACTAGGAATACTAGAAGCTTCCTGGCAGGTGTGTTGAGGCAAGTTGGAGCTAAACTCTGCAGGACACCGGCCCTCCAGGACTAAGTTTGGGCAGCCCTGTTTTAGCATATCACACTGTATGCAAATATCCTGACGTCACTGTGGTTTAAAGTGCATTTGCGCTTGCACTGCTATGCAGTGTGATCATATAGCCGAATTAAGTCATCTCAATTTATATCTGTGAACTTCAACGCAAGAGAGCTCACTCTCTTCATATTGTCCATACTACTTATTCTCCAAAAAAACAAACAAATGGTTTTACGATTACATGCGTTTTAGTTCACCCAGACATCTCTACAATACATTAGTGTACTTTTCAGTAAAATTGTCTAGAGGATGAGGTGCCCTGTAAACCGATGTACTTTAATCAGTCAGGTGTTCTTTTATTCTTGTATATTGTAGCACATTTTTGTAGTAATAGTTTTCTTTTCATCTGAACTGTCAACATACAGTTCAAAATGTTTCCTGCATTTACATTTGTGCCGTAGTCTGTAAAAACTGAACAAAACAACATTTAAAATGTGGAAAAAGACCGAAATGTCAAAACACACAGTTCTTGTCATTACGATCTCCTGCAGGTAGTCGCACACTCAGTGTATTCATGATGCCTGTTTGCATTTTGACTGAGTTTGTCTTGATTTTTTTTTTTTTTAAAGCTTTTTCAACTTAAAGCTAGCAGTTGTATGTACTGTGTTTGTGTCTAAGATTAAATCATTGTGATTATAGGAAGCTGCTGTAATTAAAACATTTGTGGTGAATAGTTCAGTCATCTGGGTCTCTCTATTCAAGTGTCTCTGTTTATGAACATTACTGTAAGCATCTTGTAAGCCACAACTTTAAAAAAAAAAAAAAAAATCAATCTTTATTCTCAATTTAAAAGTCAAGCCACTTTTGAGTGTAATGAAAGCATTTTAACAGCACAAATGACAAAAAGCAGAATATAAAGCACATCCCCAGATTGTTAAATCCCATTCTGCATTCATACAAAAAAAACAAAACATTCGCAAAAATGTTTTTTCTTAAAACTGGCATCATAAAGGTGAATTTGATCATGTAATGCTTGTTAATTCAATGTGAATATATTTAGCTTTTTGTAATAAATTGATCTAAAGTAAGAAAAACAGAACAGAAAAGACTAAATATGTACATGTCATTTTTAAAGCATTAGCTGCTTTAGGCACACTAGCTAAATGCACTGCTCCTCCTCCTCCTGCGAGTGACATATGAAGCCTCACCTGTAGAGAAAAAAGGCTTGTTTTGACAGTATCATGAAAAAAACGTTATGGTCATTCATGTATCTTGTAAACTGATACATACCCTTCTCTCCCTTTTGTCCTCTCATTCCTGGGTTGCCTGGGAAGCCTGGCTGACCTTGGAATCCTCTGTCACCTGCATGGATTGTAGAAAAACATGAAACAAGGTAGAGGAGATTTGAACGGTTATGCTGTTGCTGATGTTTATACGGACAAAAAGTATGATGAAATTCAGATATAGCTTGTAATGTAAATCAGTGAGAACTTTATAACAGACTACTTCTATTTCATAAAATGCATAAAAATATCAGTCGTCACTCTATATCCCTTAATTATGTATCTATTATTTTAAATGCTTCGTTTTACGATCAAAGCTCTGTAGTTTAAAAAGTTATTGTGAGGGATCAAAACGTAATATAATGATGATTGACAGATTAAAAATAAACTTTCGTCAAAAGACTAATGTATCATATTTTATCAATTTTAACGGTTTTTCTAAAAAAATTAAAAAAAAACCTAAGTTGCTTCAGTCCGGCAAGTGCTCATCTTGAAATATTACTAATAATATAAAAGTTATTCTTACATGTACTTAATAAAAATAAGATAAAATACATGTGAACCACAATCTGAAGGGGGAACATTTTTACAATTATACTAAAAGGCATTTTACTTACTAAAAAAGTATAAAAATTTAGATTTTTATGTAATTTGTATGGATTTGTCTCTTTGTAAACAGGACTGTTAAGTCATGACATGTCATTTCCTAGTATCTTCACACAGATACTAAAGGTAACTAGGCTTTGCTGACCCTGACATGAACATCATATGGGCGTGTGATTTGTACCTTTCTGTCCTGGTGGTCCAGGATATCCCGGCTCCCCTTTCTGCCCTGGTACACCTGGTGGTCCAATCATATGGTTTTCTGTAGAAACAGTCAATTGTAATTAAAACCATGCATCGTAAATATGTAAGATTTTTTTTATTTTTTTTTAACAAGTTCCATCTTGCCTCTGATGTAGTCCATGATCGCTGTCATATTGGAGGAAGAAAATTCTAGACTGATTTCTGGAGGTCAAGGGAGTCCAGGGAATCCATCATGTCCACGGGGTCCAAGGGGTCCAGGGGGTCCAGGGAATCCTGCTGGACCTCGTGGACCTGGAATCCCTGTCAAACCATCTTGGCCTTGTAACAGGCCATGAGCTGTGGAAAAATGCAAACATACAAGACTCAACAAAGAATTCCTACATCTGTTTCTGCCCATATTTTGTTCTTTTCGAGGCTGTTTAAATGACTGCCACATGTAGCATAACTTACACTTAATGTAATCGGAAACCTGTTTAGCGATAACTGCGTAATCCAAATTCTCATCAGAGCTCAGGTGCCCTGCAAAAGTCAAGTCACATTTATTTATACAGCGCTTTATACAATACACATCTTTTCAAAGCAGCTTCACAGTATTAAACAGGAAAATAACAGAATCAATCATGCAAACGTCATATGAGACTAATTCAAATTATGCTTTTTAAGCAGCTCTAAAAAGTCAATACTAGTGTCTTTATTCAGCTCGGGTCACTGTTATATCAGTTCAATTGAATAAGTATGTACAGTTACAAAACAAGTTGAATTCAGTTATAAGCAGCTCTACAGGAAACAATGGTGTCGTTATCCAGGGAAGTCAGTTTAATACTGATTCAGTTCAGTAACAGTGTCGATGTTGCAAAATACATCAATTATGAAATGAAACAGCTCTAAAGCAGCTCTACAGAAGACTGTAATGTAATTATTCAGCTCAATTAATCTCATCTGATAAACAAGCCACCAATGAGCGAGACTTGAGATGAAATACAGTTAGCAAAACACTCTTCTTACTATTGATATACTCCTGAGGCTTTGCGCGGATTTGCTGTTGGTTTTCGTTAGCAGCGTAAGACACTAGTTCTCCGGCACTTCCTAGTGCTCCTTGAGGTCCTGGGGGACCGGGAGGTCCTGGCAGACCTCTGAAACCAGAATCTTAAACAACATAGTACATACAAAAGGGATATCAAAAATCATTTTAATATAAGCTGTTCCTATATAAAATTAGCCTAGTAGCATCAGTGGTTACCAGATGTGTTTTTTTGCAATGGCCAATTCTTAATTACATTTGGTCCCCCACATCCTGAATGTTTCAGTCTTGCTGTTAACAAACTTTAAATCTTAACAGTTTCATATAGACCACTGTTTTTCTGGCACAAATCAGCACATTAGAATGATTTCTGCAGGATCATGTAACACCGAAGACTGGAGTAATGATACAGAAAATTCAGCTTTGCATCACAGGATATTACTGTATTTTACTGTTTTTTTTTTACCAAATAAATGCATACTTGGTAAGCATAAAATACTTCTTTCAAAACCATTAAAAAATTATATCGACCCAGGTCCTACCGTTCATCAATCTTAGCACTCGTCCAGCAACTTCCTGAGTGTTAAAGCCATATCCACCTGGCACACCTGGGGGTCCTGGGGGCCCTGGAGGACCAATCAGGTACTGCCTCACCTCATCTCCTAGATATTACCAAAGAATGTGTGGATGCACCAAAATGTTTCATAAAGCACTTTAGTCGAAAGTTACATTTGTTTATAAAATGCCAAAATAAATTTGAAAACAAAAAAGAAAGCTCTTAAGCACACATTTCACACTCACTTCGAAGGTATTCAATAACACGGTTAGCCAGAGAATCTTCAGAGCCTGATACGGGAGGTCCTGCTGGTCCAGGTGGGCCTGGAGGTCCGGTCAGGTATTCTCTGATGGGTTCACCTACAGAGAACATGAAATATTACAGCTTATTTACCCATTTATCTCTATAACCAGTTAAAGGTGTCTTTTCAAGTAGCACCAAATGGAACTAAAACTTCTAAAAGATGCTTGTCCACTCAACATTCACACAAAAAAAAATGATTTCTGCAGGATCATGTAACACCGAAGACTGGAGTAATGATGCAGAAAATTCAGCTTTGCATCACAGGATATTACTGTATTTTACTGTTTTTTTTTACCAAATAAATGCATACTTGGTAAGCATAAAATACTTCTTTCAAAACCATTAAAAAATTATATCGACCCAGGTCCTACCGTTCATCAATCTTAGCACTCGTCCAGCAACTTCCTGAGTGTTAAAGCCATATCCACCTGGCACACCTGGGGGTCCTGGGGGCCCTGGAGGACCAATCAGGTACTGCCTCACCTCATCTCCTAGATATTACCAAAGAATGTGTGGATGCACCAAAATGTTTCATAAAGCACTTTAGTCGAAAGTTACATTTGTTTATAAAATGCCAAAATAAATTTGAAAACAAAAAAGAAAGCTCTTAAGCACACATTTCACACTCACTTCGAAGGT